CTTCCTCATCTGTTATTACAGTCTTTGGTTTAAAATCTAATTTGTCTAATATAAGGATTGGCACCCCCACTTTCTTTTGGTGTCCATTAGCATGATAAATCGTTTTCTACCCCCCAACTTTAAATCTGGAGGTGTCTTTGAGTCTAATATGAATCTCTTGCAGAAAGCATATTGATGGGTCTTGCTTTTTTATCCATTTGAATACCCCGTGTCTTTTGATTAGAGCATTTAGCCCATTTACATTGAGTAACTATTGAAATATATGAATTTAGTGTCAGTGAATTACCTGTAAAGTCACTGTTTCTGTTCATTGTTTCTGTTCCTTTCTTGTTCATGTTATTTTTGCTCTCTGTCTTCACTTAAAGGATCCCCTTTAATATTTATTGCAGGGCTGATTTAGTGATCACAATTTCTTTTAGTTTCTGTTTGTCCTCGAAGCTTTTTATCTCTCCAATTTTATATGACATCCTAGCTGGGTAAACTATTGTTGACTGCATATTTTTCTCATTTAGCACGCTGAATATATTATGCCAGTCCTTTCTGGCCTGCCAAGTCTCTGTGGATAGGTCTGCTGCCAGTCTAATGTTGCTACCCTTGTAGGTTATGGACCTCTTGTCCCTAACTGCTTTCAGGATTTTCTCTTTGTCTCTGAGATTTTTAAGTTTCACTATTATATGTTGGGCTGCTGACATATTTTTATGGATTTTGAGTGGGGATTCTCTGTGCCTCCTGGACTTGAATGCCTGTTTCCTTCCCCAAATTAGGGAAGTTCTCTGCTATAATTTGCTCCAATATACCTTCTTCCCCACTCTCTCTCTTCTCTTCTTCTGGGATCCCAAATATCCCAATATTGTTTCACTTTATAGTAATACTTTTCTCTCAAATTCTCCCCTCATAATCCAGTAGTTGTTTATGTCTCTTTTTCTCAACTTCTTTATTCTCCATCATTTGGTCTTCTATATCACTAATTCTTTCTTCTGCCTTGTTTATCCTAGCAGTTAGAGCCTCCATTTTTTTTATTGCACTGCCTTAATAGCTTTTTTTATTTTGACTTGATTAGGTTTTAGTTATTTCATTTTTCCAGAAGGGGATTCTCTTGTGTCTTCTATGTTTTTCTCAATTCCAGCTAGTATCTTTATAATCATTATTCTGAACTCCAGTTCCAACGTCTTACTCCTATCCATATGGTCCCTGCAATCAGTACTGCTTCTTGTTCTCTTTTTTGAGGTGAGTTTTTCTGTATTGTCATTCTGTCCAGAGAAGAATAGATGAACAAGAGAACAAAATACCAGAAGGGTAACAACAAACCCAGAGAAATAGATGCTAGACAAATTAGAAGAGATCCAAAATTGAAAAAAAAATTTTTTTAAAGAGAGAATATAATCAGAGAAGTGAAAAGAACAGAGCAATGCACTGGAGTCTGTGTATATTTTGGTCTGTTTGTTAGAAAACTAGATCCCAGAATAATAAAGAAAGAAAAACATATATGTATAAAAATAAAATTAAATACAATAAAAGGACAGAATGTAAGTGTAAAAATGAAAATTAAAAGAGAAAAAGCAAGGAAGAAACAAAGAGAAGGAATATAAAGAGATAGGTGAACAGAACAGAGCACTACACTACATCCTGAGTGTATTGTGGCCTTTGTTAGAAGAAACTACATCTCAAAATTGTAAAGAAAGAAAAACTTACATATATACAAGAATAAAATAAAATACATTGAAAAGATTGTAACTGTAAGGATGAAAATTTAAAAAGACTTTAATAAACAAAAACAAACAAAAGAAGAAAAGGGAGAAAATATGATCAGAAAGGTAAAGTGAAGAGAGCCATACACTAGATTCTGGGTGTATTTTGATCTGTTTATTAGAAGAAACTGCATCCCAAAATTCTGAAGAAAGAAAAGCTCACATATATACAAAAATAAAATTAAATAAGAAGGATAGAATGTAACTGTAAAAATGAAAATTAAGGGGTGCCTGGGTGGCTCAGTGGGTTAAAGCCTCTGCCTTCGGCTCAGGTCATGGTCCCAGGGTCCTGGGATCGAGCCCCACATCGGGCTCTCTGCTCAGCGGGGAGCCTGCTTCCTCCTCTCTCTCTCTCTGCCTGCCTCTCTGCCTACTTGTGATCTCTATCTGTCAAATAAATAAATAAATAAATCTTTTAAAAAAAGAAAATTAAAAAAAGATTTGAAAACAAGAGCTGATGAAATAAGAAAATGGTTGAAAAATGAAAGAAAAAAATAAAATTGAAAGACTGAAGAATCGTGGGGAAAAAAAACCCTCATGAATTCTATATACTATTTTTCCCTATCACTGGAGTTTTGCAGTTCTCTATGATCAGTAAACTTGGTCTTAACAGGATGTTCTTGCTGATCATCTCCCTGGATGGAATTCCACAACCTTTGCTAGGGGGCCAGGCTAAGTAAAGGTTCCAGATTGCTCTACGTGGCTTTAGTTCCCTGAAGTCTTTCCATGCCACTTTAGAGGATGAGAAAGAAGATGGTGGCCTCTCAATCTCTAGACCCAGAACCCAGAATTTGGGGCCCCACATTTCAATGCACCCACAGGGAAAAAGCAGTCAGTCACTCCTGTCTCCTTGGTCTCCATCCACACTGTGTACTCATCCAACTTGCAACCAAGCATTTTTATTTCAAGCACACAACTTCATTTCAAGTCTCCAAACCCTGAAGACTCCTGAGGTGTGCACTTGTGCTGCTCCTCCTGGGGTGAAATGGGGAATATTACCACAGTTCTGCCACTCCCTGGGCCCCTGCTTGGAGAGCAGTCACCCAACTGTGTCCCAATTTTCATTATATGGCAACCCTGAGCTGAGAGCTCGCTCCTGGGCTTGCTATTGCAGCTGGCTTCCCATTGCAGCTGGCTTCCCTGCTTCAATGCCTGCAAGCTCTGCCATAATTAAGCACTCCCAGTCTTCCTGTGATCTCAGGGATCCTGAGACCACACTGTCTCACCCAGGATTCTGTCTCACTTTGCCACCTAACCACCTTTCAGGCAAGGACATCCCTCACCAGAGCAGACTTCTAAAAGTTCTGATTTTGTGCTCTGCTGCTACATCACTTTCTGGTGCCAGCTTTTGGAGGCTCCCTGTCCCCATGGTTTATCTTCCGATGATATATCACCTTGGATTCATTTCTCCACACCTCTTACTGTAAAAAGCGGTTGCTTATCTATTTGTAGAATTGCAGGAATTCTTTTTTTTTTCAGCGTAACAGAATTCATTGTTTATGCACCACACCCAGTGCTCCATGCCATACGTGCCCTCCATAATACCCACCACATGGCTCCCCCAACCTCCCACCCCCCGCCCCTTCAAAACCCTCAGATTGTTTTTCAGAGTCCATAGTCTCTCAGGGTCCTGGGATAGAACCCCTCATCGGGCTTCCTGCTCCATGGGGAGCCTGCTTCTCCCTCCTGCCTGCTTCTCTGCCTGCTTGTATTTCTCTCTTTCAAATAAATAAATAAAATCTTTTAAAAAATGATTTATATTTTCTAAATGAAGCATGAGGAAGGTGAAGTGCTTGGACTGGGGGAAAAGGGTATGAAAAATTTAAGTAAAGAGAAGATACAAAATCTTCATTTAGTATAGTGGAGACTACAACTTGTGACAAATGTCTGATTTGAACATTCGTCTGCCAGGGGGAAAATAAACAAATCTGTTTTGTTTTTTTTTTAAGATTTTATTTATTTATTTGAAAGAGTGAGAGTAAGGGGGAGAGAGGGCATGAGCTGAGGGAGGGAGAGAAGCAGAATTCCCTCCTGAGCAGGAATCCTGATGGGGGGCTCAATCCCAGGACTCCGGGATCATGACGGGAGCTGAAGGCAGTTGCTTAACTGACTGAGCCACCCAGGTGCCTCAGGGAAATCTATTTTAAGCAGACTTCCCACTGGGAGCCAGTTTTGGGGGATTTATCAAGCACCATGTCTTCAAATATAGACCACAGTGCTTCAGCTCTCCCTCACCATTATTTTACACTATGATTCAGACCCCTAGAAGTTTCTTTTATCTTGCTCTACAGTTCATTCATGATGCATTTAAAAACATTTTTCAAATTATATTTTGTTTTGCATTTCCATTTGTTCACGTAGGAGGAAAATTTTCCCAGTGTTTTCAAGGGAAACATTTGAATTTCAAGGGAAACTTCTCAAATTTCAGTTTCATCATTTATAAAGTGCTATCCACTTGTGGATATCTACTCATGGAATTGTGGTAAAAAATTATACTTTGTATGTATAAAATCCTGGCCCATAATAGACAATAAAAATGATAGTTGTAATTATGTCACTACTAAATATTCTTTTGTCCATAGATGAAAACTTTTTTTTCCTTAATATGGTTAGCTTCTGAAGTTGCATTTTTTTAAAAAACTACCTTTTTTAATAACTTTAATGTGACACAAAGTTTCTAAGTTTCTTATAAGATATAAATGTATGTATATATATATATATGTATGTGTGTGTGTATATATATATATATATATATATATATAATGTAAAATACCTTACTGAATAATTTTTCAAAATATTTTGGGTTGTATAATGTTTTTATGGCCCTGATAATATAGTACTTGAGAAAGAACAGAATTCAATAGAAAACTTATTTCCTCATGAAACTTTATTCTTATCACATGAGCAAAATTATGATTGATAATATGATTTTAAAAGTCCAAATAATACTGAGGAAAAGAAAAGGAGTAAAAAAGCCCACACATAACTTGAAAGGGATTTTTGAAAACCATCACAATATTATCTATATCCTCTTTGACTACTAACCTGTTGCTAAAGACAATATTTTGTAGTAAAACCTTCTATTCATTTAAGTAAATAAGAAATGCCAATCAAGTAATTTTAGTGTCAATCTTTTTTTTTCTTACAAATTAAAATAGCCACAGGCATACTTTGTGTTCTCTAAAGGAATATGGATACTACGAAAATCAATGTTCAACTTGGAGAAATATGAGATGTTGACATGGTGACTCTTTATCCAGTATCTTCTTCCATGTTGGTCTGATCTAGGGCATGTTTCTCTCTTTGAGGTAGTAATCCATATTCATTTAGGAAAGACTCCACATCCCCAGAAAAAAATTCTTCAGCAAATTGTTCTGTAACACTGATAAAATTGCTTATGAGTTCCCCACCTTTGTAGACAAGCAGTGTGGGGAGTACCTCTGAGGAAAAGCGATCCCCAGCACCTGTATTAGAAGCTTTTATTTTACAAAACTTGACCATAGGGTATTCAGCTGCAAGGCATGTAAAGCTACTGTTTAGAGCATCACAACCCTTAATACCATCTTCATAAATATGAACAACAATTGTGGTGATTTTCTGCTCCTTTCCAATGGTTTCCAGGAACTGCTCCCCAGTTTCCAGCTCATACACAAACCCATATCTAGGCCCAAAACTCAGCTTCTGGTGCATATCCTGCATACACTGTCGACGGTATTTACGAAGACAATTTTCATCTTCTTTGTCTCGGTGAATTAATTCATATTCTTGAATGCTCATCTAGAAATAGAAAAAAGAAATGATTGAAATAATTTGGTCAGAAATTTATATTCTTTTTTTACATTTTTTAAAAAGATTTTATTTATTTATTTGAGAGAGAGAGCATGCGTGTGCATGAGTAGGGGGGAGGGGCAGAGGGAGAGGGAGAAACAGGCTTCCTGCTGAGCAGGAGCCTTCTGCAGGGCTCCATCCCAGGACCCTGGAATCATGACCTGAGCTAAAGGCAGATGCTTAACCTGAGCCACGTAGCTGCCCCCAGAAATTTATAATTTTTAGACATACCAAACCCATTCTCAACTCAAAGAGTTTGCATTTACTGTTTTCTCCCCACTACCCTATTTCACTCCTGGTGTGAAAGCCTTTTCCTCCTTCACTACTTTCAAGCCTTTGTTCATATGTTACCTTCTTTGATTATACTACCTCAAAGAGTTCCCACACCATGCTTTCTATTCCTAATATTGGTTTATTTTTCTTCATAGCAACAAATACTACCTGACATTATGTCATGTACTTATTTATTTCATAATAGTTTTTATAACTGATATGTCCCATGGGGCAGGAATTTTGTATCATTCATCTCTCCTCATTATCTGCTGTAGCATCTGGCACATAATAGGAACTCAGTAATTTTTGCTTGATTAAATGCATGGCTAAATATTGTTGAATGTGGTTGAGCCATGAGATGGTTACAATCTCTGTGACAAAAATATGCCACTTAGCTACCCATCACTTTGGGTGAAAAAATTCCACCAGGGTCTACTCTGGAGTGGCTTTCATAAAAAATAAAAAGGTATACACACACAATTTAAATGTACTCCTAACAAATGCCTTTAGATAATAATGTCTCCTCCACAAAAGTTCTTTAAAAAATTATATCCTTAAAAAACTATGTCTTATCACTTACTGACTTTTTGGAATATATGGGATGGAATTCAGGCAAGAAAGATTTTACTATTATTTGGAGTTCATCAGATCATTCAAGAGGTTGATGCTGGGTCAGCAGCACCTGAGAAATTTTGGTAAAAGCAAATTTTGGAGCACCACCCCAGACCTACTGAATTAAAACTTGTATGTATGAGGCTGAGTGAGCCATCTTTAAATGAGCTGTAAATTGCCTGAAGGTAATTCTTATCTACTGGTTTAGGCTAAAGTGAGAAAAGACTTAACTTCTGTCTTCCAACACAGCTACTTTCCACAGCAGCTGGAGTATAAAATACCTGCAGAGCATTTTTAAATAGCTACACCATTATTAACTTATTCCATAGAATGTTAAACAGTCTCCTCCTCCACCAAAATACATATATACATATATACGTATGTGGGAGATTGTGTGATTGAGAGGTGTGGTGCCGCCAGGACCATAGAAGTTGGATGGCTCTCAAGGGGATTCTCTGCTGCTGCTTTGCCATCAAGCAGCATCTCAAATAGCAACTGTTGATAATTTTTAAAGTGGAGGAGAATTGAGAAGACAAGAAACTAGTATTTATGGAAAATCTAATGTTTTTAGGCACTTTGCATAGGTTATTTTACTCAAATCTCACAATGAAACTATGAGGTAGGTAGTATTACTCTCATTTTATAGATGATACTAAGATTCAGGATAAGTAGAAATATCTTGTTCTTTCATTAATTCCTTCTCATTTCTGCCTCTTGTATTTGCTTCTCATTCTTTTCCCTGTCATATTACTTTTTTGCTTTAAGATAATTCTCAATTTTATTTTTTTAACTCTAAAAAAATTAGATGCTTTATATAACTTTTAAGTTGCTACCATAGTACTGTTAATTTAACAGACTGAACATAAAAATATTGTATCAATATTGTAATACTGATTTACGTATGCGTTTGTGAGATCTTGTTCCAATCACATATTCTGGTGTTTAGGCATTCAGATGCATTTCTCAAGCTTAACCTGTGCAACACTTTCAATAATCATAATGTCTCTCATTTGTAGGGCATTTTACATATTTCGAATACTTTCATGTTTATTTTCTCTTCACATCTTTTCAAAACAAAGAGAGGATGTGTTGTTGCAATTCTTCGGATGGGAAAAGTTAATTGACTCAACTGTATCATGTAGTGTGTCTGTGAAGGAACCCAAATCTGGAAACAAATTCTTTCTTTTTTTTCAACTCTTTGTTTTTTTTTTTTTTTAAGATTTTATTTATTTATTTGACAGAGAGAGATTACAAGTAGGCAGAGAGGCAGGCAGAGAGAGAGAGAGAGGAAGAAGCAGGCTCCCTGCCAAGCAGAGAGCCCGATGCAGGACTCGATCTCACGACCCTGAGATCACGACCTGAGCTGAAGGTAGAGGCTTAATCCACGGAACCACCCAGCCACCCTGGAAACAAATTCTTAGACTTGAAGATTTTTACAATGGCCAGAAGCCTAGAACCAAGTATGTTTCCAATGTAGTCTGTCTGTTGAGAATCAATATACAACTCATATGCATTGGTTTGGAGATATATAACCCAGTAACGTGATTTATTCCCCAGTGGAAGTCACTCAATGGGTTTTAAATTAATATGATTGATGTTGGGGTGCCTGGTGGCTTATTTTGCTTACCTTCTTTCTCCTATTTGGAAAAGGAAGTTGAGATCTCTCAACCAATTCCACCCTTCTAAATAACCAATATTGTCAGGTTGGTGAATGTCTTTCCATACTTTTTTTTTCCCCCATACTTTTCTATATACTGTTCATGTAATTCTATAAGTGTAAAAATATATACAGTGATGTGTTTTTCCCCTTTGCTCTAGAGAATGAAATAATCATATAACTTAAAATACTCTGTATCTTGCTTTCTCATATTATAGAACTGCCTGTAAGTCAGCTCATGTATTTGTAACTCATTCTTTTAAGAGCTCTTATATATATATTTTTAAACATGGAATACCTTCACAGGCATTTACTTCATTTCCGGGTTTTTTTTTTTTTTTTTGGTGGTGGGGGGGGTTGGCCAACATAAACTATCATAATAAATATTTTTGAAATATATCTATTTTATATCTCTAAAGTGATTCTTTACAGTCATTTAGACTGAAAACACATTGTAAGTTATAACTACTGATTTTTCCTTACCTTTCTGCTGAATCTTTCTTTTAAGTCTTTGTTATTTCTATCGTGAGGAGAAGACATTTGTCTGAGAATCTCCTTCTTGCTAGGTGGAATTGAATCTCTGTCTTCACTCTCTAATTTAAACTTTCTCCAGTCATTTATTACTCCTTTGGGTCCTGGAATAAAAGAAAAAACAAATTGTTTCCCTCTTCATTTTCAAAACAACTATTTATACAATTGAATTTTGTATAAGTATCACCATTGGAATAGATTTGTCATCCTCTGTATCAATTAAAAAACCTTGCTTGGGCTAGAAATGCCTGACTTTCCTGCTCATAAAAATGTTTTCCCATGTTAATCTTGTTAGATAGGTTTTGGCTAAGAATTTCTCTGAAACATCTACATTAATGAAAATACAAATTGTGTACTTTCAGCTATTTACAAAATTTGGGAGTAAAGATATTAAAAATTTAGAATATGCAGGGGAATTAGAATTTTAGAAAAATAACACTTTTATTAAATAAGAAGGAAGCTTCAGCAATAATCTAGAATTGGCATCACACTATCAATAGGGACACTAGGATTATCGGGGAAAAAAATTGAAGTGATATCAAGATCCAGAAAACAACAATAGCACATATGAAACAACCAGTGAGTGAAGACCTGACTTCAATTAACAGAACTAAAAAGGTTTTAAGAAAATTATTACATAATCACCCAATTCCTTTTAAGATTCTAAGAACCTTTTACAAAGGGGAGGAAGGGATTTGCAGATTTAGGAAAAATTAATTAATTCAAGGATGATCCAACTAGAACTCAGATGTTCAGTTGTCCTGGTAAATAATAAAATTGCTTGGAAGGTCAAAATTCTTGGAAATATGGAGTTTTAAATATCCTTCACTAAAGATTAGCAATATCTATACCTTTAGTATTATATGTGTGGATGTATTCTCTTTCTTCCACATATTTCTTAATAATTTCTTAATTTATATTATATATATATTTTCTTTTTTTTTTAATTTAATTTCTTTTCAGTGTAACAGAATTCATTGTTTATGCACCACACCCAGTGCTCCATGCCATACGTGCCCTCCAGGCTCCCCCACCCTCCCAACCCCCCCGCTCCTTCAAAACCCTCAGATTGTTTTTCAGAGTCCATAGTCTCTCATGGTTTATCTCCCCTTCCAATTTCCCTCAACTCCCTTCTCTTCTCCATCTCCCCATGTCCTCCATGTTATTTGTTATGCTCCACAAATAAGTGAAACCATATGATTATTGACTCTCTTCTGCTTGACGTATTTCACTCAGCATAATCTCTTCCAGTCCCATCAATGTTGCTACAAAAGTTGGGTATTCATCCTTTCTGATGACAGCATCATACTCCGTAGTGTATATGGACCATATCTTCCTTATCCATTCGTCCATTGAAGGGCATCTTGGTTCTTTCCACAGTTTGGTGACCGTGGCCATTGCTGCTATGAACATTGGGTCACAGATGGCCCTTCTTTTCACTACATCTGTATCTGTATGCTCTTGGATCAGAAGAATAAACATTGTTAAAATGCCCATACTGCCTAGAGCAATCTATATTTTTAATGCCATTCTGATCAAAATCCCACCAGTATTTTCCAAAGAGCTGGATCAAATAATCCTAAAATTTGTATGGAATCAGAAGATACCCAGAATTGCTAAGGAAATGTTGAAAAAGAAAAACAAAACTGGCGGCATTACCAGATTTCAAGCTTTACTACAAAGCTGTGATTACCAAGACAGCATGGTACTGGCATAAAAACAGACACATAGACCAGTGGAACAGAGTAGAGAGCCCAGATATGGACCCTCAACTCTATGGTCAAATAATCTTCGACAAAGCAGGAAAAAATATACAGTGGAAAAAAGACAGTCTCTTCAATAAATGGTGCTGGGAAAATTGGACAGCTATATGCAGAAGAATGAAACTCGACCATTCTCTTACACCATACACAAAGATAAACTCAAAATGGATAAAAGACCTCAACGTGAGACAGGAATCCATCAGAATCCTAGAGGAGAACATGGGCAGTAACCTCTTTGATATCAGCCACAGCAATTTCTTTCAATATATGTCTCCAAAGACAAAGGAAACAAAAGTGAAAATGAACTTTTGGGACTTCATCAAGATCAAAAGCTTCTGCACAGCAAAGGAAACAGTCAACAAAACAAAGAGGCAACCCACGGAATGGGAGAAGATGTTTGCAAATGACAGTACAGACAAAAGGCTGATATCCAGGATCTATAAAGAACTTCTCAAACTCAACACACACAAAACAGATAATCATGTCAAAAAATGGGCAGAAGACATGAACAGACACTTCTCCAATGAAGACATACAAATGGCTATCAGGCACATGAAAAAATGTTCATCATCACTAGCCATCAGGGAGATTTAAGTTAAAACCACATTGAGATACCACCTTACACCAGTTAGAATGGCCACAGTTTCCAAGACAGGAAACAAGGTGTGTTGGAGAGGATGTGGAGAAAGAGGAACCCTCTTAAACTGTTGGTGGGAATGTAAGTTGGTGCAGCCAATTTGGAGAACAGTTTGGAGATTCCTTAAGAAATTAAAAATAGAGCTTCCCTATGACCCTGCAATTGCACTACTGGGTATCTACCCCAAAGATAATATATGGTTTTAATATAAAGTTACTTATATTAAAATTATAGTCAATCATTGTTTGCTGTTCACTTGTATTCATCTTTAAGATATATTTTCTGTATATGCAAAATATGCATGTGTATAGCATGTGTTTATATGTGTAGAAAATCTGTTTTCTCCTTTTTTTTTACAAGTGGTAGTATATTACAGATGCTTTTTCTTACCTTGCTTTTCTTAATTCATAATATAGCTCAGAGATTTTTTCATATACATACATAAAGAGATTCTTTTAAAAAATGGAGACATAGTATTCCATTGTTAGATATTCATTTGCTTTAAAAAGTTTCTTGTTGATGTATATTGTTTCCTCCCCATTTTTTTCTGTAATATGTAATCCTGAGTGAAGAACCTTGCACATCCATTTTTTTTTTCAATCCATGCAGGTCTATCTATAGGTTTTTGCAGTAAAATTGCTTGGTCAAAAAGCATGTATATTTCTAATTTTGATATTGCTAAACTACTCTTAAGGAGGTTGTACTAGTTTACACTCCTACCAGTAATGTATGGGTATGCCTCTTTTCAAAGTGTCTTATAAACTTCTTACTTTTACAAACAGTGTGGGAAAAAAACATATCTCACAATAGTACTAACTTCATAAAGGCTATTTTTTCAATTGTCTGGCCTATCTTTTGCTTATTTCTCCACTTAATTGTTGTTATTTTTCTTATTGATTTGTAGGTGCGTTCAGTATTTATTAGGAAATTATCCCTTTGTCAATTGAATTGCAGCTAGTTTCCCCCATTTTGTCAAATGTTTTTTGAAATTTGTTACTGATGACCTATTAAATAGCAGACATTTCTTTCCTTTCTTCCCTCCCTCCCTCATTTTTATAGCTAAATTTATCAGTCTTCCTCTATGGTTTCTTGGTTCTATCATACTTAGAAAGTTATTCTTCCTATTATTGTTATAAAATGAATTCCTAGGATACCTGGGGGGCTCAGTCAGTTCAGCATCTGCCTTCAGCTCAGGTCATGATCTTCAGGTCCTGGGGTCAAGTCCAGGTGGGGCTTCCCATCCAGCTGGGAGTCTGCTTGTCCCTCTCCCTCTGCCTCTACCCCCACTCGTGTTCACTCTCTCTCTCTTAAATAAATGATAAAATAAAATAAAATAATAAAATGAATTCTCATGCATTTTGTCTTGTACTCATGTGAACTCATTCAACTCTCTGACTAAATTTAAAGGCTCCATTTCATATTATTAAAAGAGAGAGGAAAATATTAGTTTAATAAGATACAATAGAGTTAAAACCCCAACCTGTTATTTTTATTTATTTTTAAGTGTTAATTATTTTTTAACTGAAGTAGAGTTGATATACAATATTATACTAGTTGAAGGTATACAAAATAAGTGAAGAAGCTTAAGAGGCACAAACTGAACTTTTAAAGTGACATGCTATCTGATTTTTAAACTCTTAATAGTGGCATATATACTGGCATATACACTGGCATATAAACCTGGCATAATTGCCAGGTTTACACACTTCACAGCACTCACCATAGCACATACCCTCCCCAATGTCCATAACCCCACCCCCCCTTCTCCCAACACCCCTCCCCCCAGCAACCCTCAGTTTTTTGTGAGATTAAGAGTCACTTATGGTTTGTCTCCCTCCCAATCCCATCTTGTTTCATTTATTCTTCTCCTACCCCCTTAACCCCCCATGTTGCATCTCCACTTCCTCATATCAGGGAGATCATATGATAGTTGTCTTTCTCCAATTGACTTATTTTGCTAAGCATGATACCCTCTAGTTTTTTTTTTATCTGAAATAGAAAATTTTTTAATGGCTGGTTAATTGTATCACTACATTTTTTATTGCAACATAGTACTCGCTTAAGCACTTAAAAATGGAAGATTAAATTAAGACATGGTAAATTGACTAAATATTTGGTTTTTATATAAATAAAGGTCATAACCACACTGTTGACATGTAATACTGTTATAATACAACAGTTAAACTGTGAGTCTACAACAGAAGTCATCTGTAGTTAAACAGGAAACAAAGTTGAAAAAGACCATGTTAAAACAAAAGTACTGGGACTAACAGGTGGGGATTGTAAGTAGCAACAAACATATTCACTCAGCTCCTGAGTATTTCAAGTTTTACAGTACACATTAAAAATGATTTCTTCCATCAACACTATAAATTCAAACTGTCGGATGTTTATGCGTTTTGCAAGTTACACTGATTGAATGCTTATATGGGAGTGGGGGTCGGAGCATCTCCCGATTTGAAGTTTACATCACCCACATGCTAACACAAACACAACTTGTTCCGTTTTCCTTCCCTCTTCTTCCCCATACAAAGGCGGCAGGATTTTTTGGTTTCTTTTAGATAATTGTTTTAAAGGATTTGTGATGATCAATTTGAACGTCTGAAATTCAGTAATATTTAACTCTTAGACAACTAAGAGGTTAAAGATGGAAAACAATTTCTCCTAACACCAAGTTAGAAAATCATTTGCATCATGCTGTATACTAGGAAGCAATGTAAAGCGACAAAAACCTGTCCCCAGTACATAATTTAAAAAATCTAAATTTCAAGTCAGCAGAGCTGGAATACTTCCATGTTGACTATATGCCACAGTATGCGTGTGCGCTCCTGAAATGCACGGCTAATGCAGGCAGTCTTCCACTGCGGCAAACGCACAGGATCCGATTCCTGATCGGGCCATCAGTCCTAGTCACTGTGTGGCCTGTCCCATTGCTAGGGCAAGTGGAGGTTGCTTTGGCAGATTGTGGGTTTCTAATATTGCACTGTTAAGAGCTGAGCACACGGTTCTCTCTGAATTGGGTCAAGCTGATTTCCAACTGGGCTGTTCCAAGGGTCTGAGTATATATACAGTCCCATACAATTTAACAGATTAAGAAAACAGGCTCTGGATGAAATGACTTGAAGTCTTAGGTTTTCTAGAGGAATACTGAAATCCATTTGATTTAAGAATGTTTTATCATTTCTTTATTTTTTTCATATACAAAAAATTAAAATTAAAAACTATGTACCTTTTGGTCTAGTACTGCTTACAATTGCAAGGAAAGTTCACAGTGGGGGAAATTAGAGAGGAAAGAGCTTAACTATAGTGTAGAAGAGGCCTTATGATAATTGTGTAGTAAGAAATTCTCAATATTTAGTGTTTTTCTCATTCTTTGACATCTAAATAAAACTACTCTAAGAGTATTTGATTTCACATTAATTTTCCCACTCAAATATTTTTAAATGATTCCATCAAAGCATTAGAGATATAGAACATTAGAGATACCCACATTTAATTTTAACTTAGTAATTTTTTTTCTTCTGGATTTGCTTTACCTGTATGTGTGGCCTGTCCTTCAAAGTCTTCCTCCAAACTTTGGCTTTTGGCTTCTTCCATTTTAGGGTTTGGATTTGATATAATCTATAGCATAAACAAAGAGATAATCTATAAATAAAGAACAAAGAACAAATCTAAAGCATGAGCAAAGATTTGGTATAATCTATAGGGTGAACAACAGATGAATGCTAGGATATATATATTTATATCCTATTATTCTCTCACTGCCAGTGTCCATGCTGAACTAGGAGTTCTCACTAATAAATTTTAGTATGTTTAGTATGCTTCTGTCTCCTTGTAAAAGAACATTAATTTAATGTTTGTATAGTTAAAGATATTTTGACCTAAAGATTTTACATAATTTGTAGTTTGTTTTTACTTAAAAAGCCTTCAGTTTAAGTCTATGTACTTAATGAACATTATTTATTATTTGTTTTTTAATTTTGTTACCAAATATCATACAATTGTATCCCAATATTTTATATAACACAATTTTAAAATTAATAATTATTATATATTTACTATGAATACTTACTTTGTGCCAGACATTGTTCCAATTAATTTATGTGTCAAAAATCATTTAATTCTCATGTAGCTATATGTGACAGGGACAATTATTAACACCATTTTACAACTGAGGAAGCTGAAGCACAGAGAGTTTAAGTTATCTGTCCATGATCACATAGTAAATGGTAGAGCAAGGATTTGAACTTAGATTTAATTTTAGAGCTAAATCTTAAGTCATTACACTCTTATGAAAGTTAACATATTGTAAGAGTCATTTTTGTCAATAAGGTTTAAGAAGTGCTACTTCCGAATTGGTATTAAAGAGTAACAATCTAAGGAACAATGCTATTAAAAAACTAATACCAGAACATCTCTCCATACCATAAAGCAAGTTTTGGTGATGTTACCCACCAAGAAAATGATAACAATTAGTAACTATACCTATAGAATTTTGACTAAAATATGTCACAATATCTACCAAAAGCACATGGAATTTTATTCATAGAAAACTCCTTGATGCCATGATATAGAACCTATTTATTCTTCATTTACATAAGTATAACTTGTTTACTTAATTATCTTTCCATCATTTGGAAAACTCTATTATTATACAACTAACACATTCCCTAAGGGGTCCATATAGTTGTGATTTTCTTGAAATTTCCACATCAGGGAGGTTATACTAACAGTGGATGTACCATCTATTTACTGAAGAAAGCTTCCTCTACCTTCTCCCCTTTGCCTCTTTCTTTCAAAGTCCGTTTTAAGCAATGATGTGATCCAACTTATGCTTTTATTCCCATCTTAGTTTTTTATTGATTTATGCCTGGACTTGGTTCATTTAGTGCTTTCCCAAGGTTCATTTAGTGCTTTCCCAAGGTTCATTTAGTGCTTTCCCAAGTTCTTTGTCTTCATTCCTTCTTTGCTTTCACATCTGCTCCCAGCATAATTTTATGGTCTCATAAGTTTATTGTTTCCATCATTATAGTCCCTACTCAGAATCATTGGTTGTCAAAAATCCTTGCCAAATTGATTTTACCCAATTGAACAAGAAGAAGCTTTTAAGAAAAGACTGTCAGGAGCTCTTGGAGACTGTAGATATAGATTTTAAATCATGTATCTTTCTCATGTTCATGTAAGAGAGGGAATATAAACAAAATAAATGATTTGAGCCATTTAAAAAATCTGTCAAGGAAATGCCTATTTATTACACAACATTTATGTAACTATAAATGTAATAAAGAATATTTGTTAAAAGATTTTATTTATTTATTTGACACACAGAGATCACAAGTATGCAGAAAGGCAGGCAGACAGAGAGGGGAAAGCAGGCTCCCCGCTGAGCACAGAGCCCGATGTGGGGCTTGATCCCAGGACCCCGAGATCATGACCCAAGCTGAAGGCAGAGGCCCAACCCACTGAGCCACTCAGGTGCCCCTGTAACAAAGAATATTAATGTTGAATGGATTTACTAATGAAAAAGAATAAATGAAAATGAAAAGAAGGGAAAATAGAAATAAATAAATGTTAGTTAAAAGAAGCTACTTATGGGGCACCTGGGTGGCTCAGTTGGTTGGGCATCTGCCTTTGGCTCAGGTCATGGTCCCAGGGCTCTGGGATCCAGCCCTTCATCGGTATCCCTGCTCAGCAGGGAGTCTGCTTTTCCCTCTCCCTCTGCCCCTCTGGCAGCTCATGCTCTCTCTCTCTTTCTCTTTGTGAGTGTCTCTCATTCACTCTCTCTCTCAAATACATAAAATCTTAAAAAAAAAAACCAAAAAACTATGTAAGGGGTGCCTGGCTGGTTCAGTAAGCAGAGCATGCAACTCTCTCTTTTTTTGGTGGGGGAGGGAAGGAGAAAAGGGAGAGAGAGTATTAGGCAGACTCTGCACTGAGCATGGAGCCCAACATGGGACTTGATTTCATGATCCTGAGATCACTTCCTGAGTTGAAACCCAGAGTCGGGCCCTTAACCAGCTCTACCACCCAGGTGCTCCAAGTATGTGACTTGATCTCAGGGTCATGAGTTCAAGCCCTACATTGGGTATAGAGCCTACTTTAAAATAAATAAACAAGCATTATATTTTTTTATAAAGCTAATTAATTAATTATTGCAATTACTTAAAAAAATTTTATATCTCAGAAACATGAACATTATTAGTTTGCTTCAAAAGAACACTATAGAACAAAGTAGTGGAAACTTTTAGTAACTTTCGTAGCTGTTTAGTCCCCAGAAAAGTAGAGACACAAGCCAACTTTTTTTTTTTTTTTGCAAGAGTAGAGAGTTAATTTGGAGTAGCTACTATTCACAATAAATATAATAAACACATTACAGCAAGTACATTAAGAATATCTAAAAATTATTTTATTTCAAATGTTGAAGAAAAAGAAGCATAGCTTCCTTCTTGGCTTGCTTCTTGCCACCCTAGTTTGCAACATAGTAGAAAAAACTTCCATTTTTCAAAAAGACTTTTGCCAATTTCAAAGAATCCCCTTACTGAAAAGGCCTTCCCATTATTTAGGGAAAACCTGATTCAATGATTTTACTGGGCTATGAATTACATGAATGAATTCATGAGTTACATGAAAAACAAAACTCTAGTATGGCACTCACTAAGACTTAAGTCAGCTGGGTTGTCTATTTAGTGAAAGACAGAGTCCATCTTTACCTATGCCTTCATTTGAGTTAGAGTAAAAAGACTGGTGAAATTTATTGCTGTTTACTGCTAGGGAACCAATAAATAGAAAAACAAATCAGAGGACACATATTGAAATATGAGGCATATTTGCTGAAAATTCTGTGGAAGAAAACACAAGTTGAGTATGATTAGCCATTGGAGTTTTTGATCTGTTAATATCTCCTGTCATCACCTCACTCTGGTGTTTTCAGATTTTCTCAAATAATTCTCTTTTTAAAAATTAGCATCAGTATCCTAAAATTAATTGAATTAGTATTTGGAAGGTGCTTAGATCCAGACACAGATAAATGCTGTGTGAGTCTGTAAAATAAAATAAAGAATGTATCTTTAATGTTGGTATATATAGTGTGTTAATGGTCATTTTAAAACTATGATTAACATTTGGTTTGCAATGATATTATTAGTAGTTTAAAAATTCCATGCCTGCTTTAAGTTAAAGGATTTAAAATAAAAATAGGATTAGTAAAGACTTTAGGTGATAATAAACACATCTGTGTGTGCTTGGAAACTGGTGAAGGACAAGAAGATAGAAAACTCCACCAAGAATTACTCTGACTCAGCAGTTATTGTATTTTCCAACTTACATATTTTAAAAATATTTGCTGTTGTTCCTTCTTGATTTTAGACAGTTATAATACTCTTTCAGTTAATAAGATCTCTGTTAAGTAAAAATTAGATTTTGACAGAATATCATTCATTTGAAGGGTTACTAAAAAACTCCTTAAAAGCAAAAGTAGGGGCGCCTGGGTGGCTCAGTGGGTTAAGCCTCTGCCTTCGGCTCAGGTCATGATCTCAGGGTCCTGGGATCGAGCCCTGCATCAGGCTCTCTGCTCAGCGGGGAGCCTGCTTCCCCCTCTCTCTCTGCCTACCTCTCTGCCTACTTGTGATCACTCTTTCAAATAAATGAATAAAATCTTTAAAAAAAAATAAAAGCAGGGCGCCTGGGTGGCTCAGTGGGTTAAGCCGCTGCCTTCGGCTGGGGTCGTGATCTCGGGGTCCTGGGATCGAGTCCCGCATCGGGCTCTCTGCTCAGCAGGGAGCCTGCTTCCCTCTCTCTCTCTCTCTGCCTGCCTCTCCATCTACTTGTGATCTCTGTCAAATAAATAAATAAAATCTTAAAAAAAAATAAAAAAAAATAAAAGCAAAAGTAAAAAGTTAATGTTTATGATACATACTGTTTAAAAAAATTAAAATGTAATTCTACCAGGTTAGGGTTTTATTTTCCTCTTAGTGTTGGGTTTTAGTAGTAATTTAAAATAATAGCTGAGGGGTGCCTGGTGGCTCAGTGGGTTAAAGCCTCTGCCTTCGGCTCGGGTCATGATCTCAGGGTCTTGGAATTGAGCCCCACATCGGGCTCTCTGCTCAGCAGGGAGCCTGCTTCCTCCTTTCTCTCTCTCTGCCTACTGGTGATCTCTATCTGTCAAATAAATAAATAAAATCTTTAAAAAAATAAATAAAATAATAGCTGATATGGGATAACATTTCTCAAACTTCGCCCTTAAAACTCTAACACCTCCCAACCATAGTTTTTAATTACTAAGAAATAAAATGAGGCAATTTTATTTTTTTTATTTTTTTATTTCTTTTTAAGATTTTATTTATTTATTTGACACAGAGAGAGAGATCACAAGTAGGCAGAGAGGCAGTAGAGAGAGAGGAAGGAAAGCAGGCTCCCCGCTGAGCAGAGAGCCTGATGTGGGGCTTGATCCCAGGATTCTGGGATCATGACCTGAGCCGAAGGCAGAGGCTTAACCCACTGAGCCACCCAGGTGCCCCAAATGAGGCAATTTTAAATGATTCTACGTGTAATTTTTGTTTCACACATAATGGCGATGTTCTAGAATAGAAAGGAAGTGATAAAATTCTTAAACATTA